TTTTTTAAGCAATGTGCACAAAAGCAATGCACATCGCAAAACCCTAACAATAGATCAACGCCGTTCTCATTTCCGCGTAAATAAACAGAAATTAAAATTTTCACTCGCGATGCCACAAATTTTTGGTCCGGGAGAAACAATCAAACCACGCAGCGCCAAATCTTCTGATGCTTGCAATTTTTCAAACATGATGAATCATGTTTTCTTTCTTGATTCTAAAATTTCCACTCCAGAAAACCACCACTCACACACGTATAACCGTCCGGGAGGCAGAGTGCCAGCGCTAATCCGGCAAATGCAGCCGAAAACTATGAAAGATAATGCACGCACAAAACAGAGAGCAAATTTAGACACAACCGTATCCAAAGGCGTTCGAAACTCCACCGGTTGTACTTGCCATTTGAATTGAAATTGAAATGTTGCGCTTGAAAGTTTGGGCTAAAAGACTACAAAACTGACGATAACTTTTGACAGAAGACTTGTACTGGTATAGTATCTTTGAAGAAAATGTGTGTTTTAATATTAATCGCTCTGAACATAGTAGGCCGAAAAAGTGATATTTAAAACAATATGACAGAAAAACTGATTTTTGGCTTTTTTTTTCTTAAACGGCTTATATCTCCAAATATAGAAGAGATAAACGAAAACAATGTTCTAAGAAGTTTTCTAGTTTTTATAGTTCACAACTTTGTTTATAAAGTTAGCTACCAAATTACGTTACTGGTAGAATTTGGCGTTTAGGACACTTATGCAACCAACGCAAATAGAGTTCACGAGAAAATGTTTAGAAGACACCTAATTTTGCTTTCTGTACCACAGTGCAATGATACTATATGCCCAAGGAAGTCAAGAAAATTTCCAACCCGAAAGATTCGCTCAACCGGACTACGACAATTAAGAAACTACGAGATGAACTAGGCAATGAATTGAAAATATCTCTAATAAATTTTTTAAAACAAAATAAAAAATTAATGATTTTGAGCCTCAAAACAAGCTTCTAGCGAATTTCTTCAACAAATAACACATCATGTGCCTTGACAAAAACAGAAACCTTAAAAATAAGTACATGTGTTCATTGGACTGTACATGATCAGGAACGATTTTGTTTACCCAAAACTCAACCCATACTCGTACCTGACGAGTTCGGGTCGGGTACGGGTTGTCGAAAATTTTATCAATCGGGTACGGGTATTTAAATTACATACCCGACCATCCCTATTATTCAGTTATAGCTGTTTTACCAAACCGATGACGGTGGTTTCGATTTACAGTCCGGTCAAGAAAATCTTACTGGATTGAAATTTGCTCGACGTCCATGAGCATAGAGTGCTTTTGGATGTGCTTGAAACTCTGATACCTGTTAACTGTTTCCGGACCGATAAAAAAAAATAAGGTCTATGATAAAGAAACAATCTAGATACAGCTGGAATTAGGGCGTAACAGCTTTTGTAAACAATGACTTCTATCGATGATTTCTAAAAATCTAAGGCTTGACCACGCAAACCAACATAACTATTGGGTAGGGGAAGTCTTCCACTTGTGGGTGTGCCTTGAATTCCTAGAAATCGTCTAGAGAAGTCATTGTTTACAAAAGTTGTTATGCCCTAATTCCAGCTCTATCTAGCAATGTCCTTTTGTGTGCCGTGGAACGACTCTTCGTGCATATTATAGGAGATCATTTTTAATTTGAAGTTCTAGTAATCCTATTACAATCAATTATTTGCTGTTTTGTTTTGATTCTGAGTCCGTTTCGCATCGTTCCATTTCCCTTTATCTTCATTCCATCTGCTAAATGTCGTTTGAGCAATAATTTGCACGGATTGTCAGTTTCCCGGGAGTCCGCGGTATTGTTTTTTTTTAAACTTTGACCTGGCTTGCGTTTTATTATGTGTAATGGTTGGCGAAAAACGCGTCGTTCTAAATTTAAAAGTACACCCAACCGGTGGATGTAAGATTCGCTTACAATTATGTGGGATTCATCATCAGAGGATGTAAGTGGAGACCGCATGAACCGAGGATGCGATATACCTAGCTGCGGTCCGATGTAAGAAAATTGGAGACCGAAAAATGTAGAGTGTATTAGTAAGTGAAATTAATTATGTTGAAAAAAATAGAAAAAAGGTTGCTTACTGGACTCGAACCACGGACGTTGCGACTATCAGACCTGTGCTTCCTCCACTGCTCTCTCCATGCTTGTGAATATGGTCAGCCTAAAAGCAAACATGAAGCGCTCATTTTCTCGCATGCTCGACTTCGTATGCTTTTTCTGCTGGAGAGATTCGAGATAAGTGTGTGCGTCGTTCTACAATGTGCGTCGTTCTACAAGCTTACTGGTATAGTCGAAAGCGTAGATGGAACACGAAATGAAAAAAGACAAAAAACCATTACATCGCCTGCATGGTCAATTTCTAACATTCGTTGCGATGTTCATGAACAGAGGATGATAGGAAACGGAACTAACATTCATTGTAATAGATTTTTGGTTTGCGTGTAGAAAAAATACTATATTGATGGCGTATCCAAAATTTTAACGGCGGCATATCAAAAATCATCACGAAGGCGCGCCGACTCAAAATCATTGGCGGAGGCGGCGTGTGAAAAAGTGCCGGCGGCGGCACCTAGGACTAATAGCAACCGCACATTAATTTGTTTAAGCATTTGGACAAGTAAAACAAAAGTTTGAGTGGTAAAAAAGGAATTTAAAATGATTCCATAGTAATTCCCATACATATTTCATACCATTTGCGCCATACGTTACATTCATCAATCTTTACCATTTTTAGAACTAACAGTTCGAAAAAGTAGTAGAATTTCATTTCAATATGATGCACATAAATGGAGCCTTTTAAATCATGTTACGTTTTGAAACATTTCAAGAAATATTTCAAATATTGTATGCATTGTTGTGGGAAATATTGCATGAAAGTTGATTGCTTGCGTGAAAAGAAATACAAGTTTAAAGGGTGATACGGTCAAAATTTGGTCAATATCAACTTGACGTATTTCTTTCAATTTTGCATTTAAAAAACCTGAACACCCCTCATTTTGAAGGTGTGTGTGTAGAATGTTGCTCTCATTTTGATTTTGGAATTCACTCATCAGTTGTTAAAATGCCGTCCAAGCAAGAAGAGCAGCGTATCAAAATTTTGCTCGCGCATCGCGAAAATCCGAGCTACTCGCACGCAAAGTTGGCAAAATCGCTAAAAGTTGCCAAATCAACCGTTAAAAATGTAATTAAAGTGTTTGGGGAACGTTTGTCGACAGCCAGGAAGTCTGGATCGGGGGGAAATCGAAAACCGGAAGCCGCTGAGACGACAAAGAGAGTTGCCGGTAGTTTCAAGCGAAACCCTAACCTCTCTCTCCGAGATGCCGCAAATAAGCTGGATGTATCGTCTACAACCGTGCATCGAGCCAAAAAACGAGCCGGACTATCGACTTACAAGAAGGTAGTGACTCCAAATCGCGATGATAAACAAAATACGACGGCCAAAGCGCGATCCCGGAGGCTGTACACGACGATGCTGACGAAGTTTGACTGCGTGGTAATGGACGACGAAACCTACGTCAAAGCCGACTACAAGCAGCTTCCGGGACAGGAGTTTTATACGGCAAAAGGAAGGGTCAAGGTAGCAGATGTTTTCAAGCACATGAAACTGTCAAAGTTCGCAAAGAAATATCTGGTTTGGCAAGCCATCTGTACCTGTGGCTTGAAAAGCAGCATTTTCATAGCTTCCGGGACTGTCAACCAAGAAATTTACGTGAAAGAGGGTTTGAATAAACGTCTGCTGCCTTTCCTGAAGAAACACGGTTGTTCCGTACTGTTTTGGCCGGATTTGGCATCTTGCCATTACGGTAAAAAGGCCATGGAGTGGTACGCCGCCAACAACGTGCAGGTGGTTCCCAAGGACAAGAACCCTCCCAACACGCCAGAGCTCCGCCCAATTGAGAAATACTGAGCTATTGTCAAGCGGAACCTAAAGAAGACCAAAAAAACTGCTAAGGGCGAGCAGCAGTTCAAGGCAAACTGGCTTTCTGCGGCGAAGAAGGTGGACAAGGTGGCTGTACAAAATCTGATGGCAGGGGTCAAGCGTAAGGCCCGGCAATTCGGATTTGGAAAAGCGGAAGCCTAACTGAATATTTTTCCTGAATTTTATACTAATTGAACTTGAAAAAGAAATTTAATTTGATTTTTTAAATAAACGATTTCACCGATTTACACGCGTTTTCCCTTGACCAAATTTTGACCGTATCACCCTTTACAAGCATGGATGTTTACATTACCAGTAATATTCAGATTTTTTTTGCTGTGTCAACTCATAGTTTGACGGTGGCCTATAAGATTGCTAATACAGTCATCCCAGTATTTTGGGCCAGTTAACCCAAGTAATCAACAAGCCCGCTAATTCGCCTTTTTGCAATATAAGGCTAATATGTGGCTAATATAAAGCTTAGCATGCCCTATATTAGCCGTGTATCAGCCTTATATTACAAAAAGGCGAATTAGCGGGCTTGTTGGTTACTTGGGAAACAAGATCATATTTCCAGATTATTGATAAAGCCTCAGGAACAAGTGATTGACCATACGCATTTTGCAATATATCTGATAGATTTGTATTCTGATTGTATTTTCTTAAAAATAACATATTAACAAATAACATATTAACATTACCAACATTATGGGTCACTTTTGTGGGTCAATGCTCCCAGAATTATGGGTCAATCAAGGAGAAATGGATTTCTTCTGAGCCAAAAAAATGGATCTTACATTTTTCTTATTTTTTAGATATTCATGAGATTTTGTTTCTTTCTAAATCTGTTAGTTAAAAACGCCAATACCGTAACAATTCATTGTATTCTTTATTGAAAAAAAAAATGCTTGAGGTAAGAAATAAAAACAGTTGACTTTCAATTAATCGCAGATGCTTAGGTTTTCTGTTCTTGTCATTTTTTTAAATTCAATTTTGTTCTTTCATGTTTCTGTTTCTATCGTTTGCTCGAGTTTACTTTGCTGCTTCGGCTTTTTTTATAACATTTTGCTTGCTTTCTCTAGACAACTTTTTCATTAGATTTTCTTCTTCCTTTTGCTCTTTCAGCAGTTTTCTTTGCTCGATCCTTGCTAGCTTAGCTTTTTCCTGCTCTTTCTTCGCTTGATCCTTTTTATTGTACCATTCTAGCCATTTGGTACTAGTTGCCACAGAAGGAAAGTGTTCTTGTGTCTTACGCTTACGATCACCTTTCTTGTCATATACTCTAGGCAAAACTAGCACATCATCAAACGGATCGTTTGATTGAAGATTGGATCCTTCTTCTCTTTCGTGAATAGATTCATTTGCCGGTTCAGTTTTTCGGACAGGCTCTTCAGTATTTGATTCAGTGGCTACAATAAACCAAAGATTTTTAAATATTAGTTCAGCTAACGTAAACTTGTTGCAAACTTACCAAATGCTGATGCGTCATTCACACTTTCAACCGGAATACAATTGCCACTTTCGTCGAAAGTGAAGTTCAAAGAAACACTTCCATACTGATTCAGCGGCTCCTACGGACTTGTCTTTAACACTTTTCCAAAAATTGAAAAGCGCCAGTTCCTCCAAAGGGCCATACCAAAAGTCTTTGAGACGGTTGTCATTGAATCTAGATAGAACCTCTTCATCCAATCCCATTTCAATGTACGTAAGCTGTTGTTGATAAAAATCTGTCGGATGGAATTCGTATTCGTTGTCGTTGGATTTTCATCGATTGTTCCAGTTTCCGTCTCTGGTATATTTGATGCTAAAGTACTGAAATCGATCTCGTTCACATTTCATGGACAAATTCCGCAGAGTTTGAAACCTTTTTTAAGGCATTCTTTTGAGTTTGAAAAACATTCGATGGCTGTTTTTATCAATTTCCCAAAGTTGGCTTTGTTTACTCTGGCATCGCTTCTAATTCCAACGAACTCCGTCAATACTTTAAAGCAAATTTTTTTCAACGGCCCGAAAAAGACTTTGTCCAGAGGCTGAAGGAACCTGGTTGAGTTTGGAAGAAGAGAAACTAAGATTTTTTTCCATACAAAACTCAGTCAATTCGATACTAATATGGCTCTTATGTCCATCGATAAAGACAATGACTGGAAACTCGACATTTTTGTTCAAAAGCCAGCTGTAGAAATCGTTGACTATGTACTCAAAAAATGTTTTGCAAGTTTGCCATCCCTCATCGGAAACTCCTACAGACCAGCCAGAGGGAATATTCTCTGCTATTTCACGTGTTACTCGCTTGTCGGGATAGATGATCATTGGTGGTGTGAGCTCACCGTCCGCACTACTTCCAAAAAGTACTGTGAAGTTTTTTTTGTCGCAGTTGATATTCACAAAGTAAACATTGCTGGCCTGAGCGTCACACAGAGCTTGAGGTTGTCTTCCATTTCAAGAAACCATCCAAAAAATTTCTTACTGATAGTGGGATGCCATTTCAAATAGAAATGAGACCAATTTTTGCCTGAAATAGAATAATTTGAACGAATTTATTTTAGAAAATATCCAATACTGACTTACTCGGAAATGACTTGGGTAATTCTCGCATTTTCCGGATCTTTTTTGCGTACTCAGAAACAGTACGAGTAAGGCTCGATTCACTGACGGGAAATCCCGCTCTGAACATGTAAACAATCCATTCTTCGATTTTAGTCTCTTCTTCAGGAAGAAGAAGAGTATTAGGTCCTGGCTTGTTACATTTTGATGGTTTTCGTAGATGCCGTTGAACGTACTGTAAGGGAGATTATGGTCTCTTGCAGCCTGCCGAACTTTTCCCGTTTGTCGTGCCTGTTCAAGAGCGAGATGCAAAACACTATGCTCGTAAGATTTTCGCTTCTGTTTTTCGGTTTTTTTTTGCCATTTTCTTGATTTTTCTGAATCATGGGTCATAAAAAAATAAAATACATAAAAATAATAATGTCAGCGCTGTTAATCAACGTCCCTGACCCATAATACTGGGAAAAGTGAACTTGGCTGCCAATAATATGGACCAAAGTTTTGCGTCAAATAATAACGCAAATGAACAAAATTATGACCTACATTTAACGTAATTCAACGAATACTAACCTTGTCTTTCGATTCTCGTCTATATTACACGAGGAATTGTAACGTTACGCAGGTATTTAGCTTATTACTCACGAGCGGATTTTTATGGCTCTGATAAAAACAACAACAAATTAACAGCTGATCGGAGCTTACTGACGTCTACCGGAAAAAGAATAAACCACGTACATCTGAGCCAAGTATTTCATTAGCAAGCATGTTGAGATATGTTATTGGTAACCATTAACATTTTATTTGACGGTTATATGTTTTTAAATAGTGTATTAAACGCAAAAACTGCAAAGACTGACCCATAATATTGGGTGGCTCATAATACTGGGGTGACTGTACTATGTTTCAAAATGAAGCACCCTAACGTACCACTCTCCCGCCTGATGGCCGCAGCAGCAGTAAACACTTCTGTATCAAAATGCTCTGCCCGCAGTGAAGTGAGTGCAAATTGCACAATATAACAATGAGCTGCTTTGAAGAAAACGGTCGCAAATTGGTAGACCACAAAGTAAAAGTTACTACCCTGCCTGGCTGACGGTATCATCAAGTTCTAAGAATCTGCTCCTCAGGCAACCATCATCAGCCAAAGGAACATTCTTCAAAGTTTCACTTATTCCCGCTCCTCCCGGTCCTGCTGTTGATGTTGCTGTCTGTAGTTGCGATGGTTGAAAGCCACACAGAGCACCCATACCATCGCGAACCGTCATAAAAAAGTGATATTTGAATAGGCAAAAGGGCCCCTCGTCCTGCTCGGGTGCGTCGTCGTTGTCCTCGTTCGTGGATGGATGCTGAGCTGAGAATGCAATAAAAGGAAAAGCATTCAGGCTTCGTTCGACAACGAGCACTCCATCGGTGGTGGTGGCGGTGGTGGCGACGGCGGGAGAGTTCAACGACAGCAAAATGACGAACCTGCTGATTATTGCGCTGGAGAGAAGAATTCTTGCGTTTCGTTCGAAATGATTTGACGCTGACTTGAAGCCCGCAGCTATTGATGACGAGTTGGCGATGATGATTGATGTTTCGAGATTTGCATAATCATATTTTAATGAATTCGTTTCTCCCTCGACCACCACCAACCGCAGGGCTCCGTGTGGTGTTTGATGGGCGATAAATGGAATCAAAGGAGACGGCAGTTCGCGAAAGGATGCTTTTATCGGTGGTGGTTGTTGTTTGCGCTGACTTATCGGAATCTCGCGTGCGATAGGACGTTAGGAATCCGATTTGCAAGGATAGCTTCAAAGGGAGGAACCTATTATCGTTTGCTACACAAATGGCAATTTTAATGATGCACTTTTCACATTAAAAGTTCATCAACACTGTGGGCCCAGGTAATGATGGGTGTCGGGTTTAGATCGTTCCCTAAGAGCACTTGTGCGCAGAGGTCGATCATGTCAAATTGCTTTTAGATTGCGGAGTTGTCAGTAATAACAGCAATTGAACTGGTTTGCGTCAGTACGAAGTCGATAGAGTGGTCACATGAGGGGGTGGCTTTCATCAAGCCAGAAGGAAATAAGCTCATGTGATGATTTGCCAACGATCCTACAATTATGACAAAATACACCGTTTTCTATCGGAAGCCCACGTTTACGAAGGCCCATAAACTTCCAATTAATCAGAGTCCAATTTGTCCTGGATCCGAATCGAAGACCTCCCTTGCATTGAAATAAATACGTGCCTCCCGGAGAAACCGCTTTCCAGTCAACTGGCTCAGCTTCCTAAGGTTAGCCTCTTCCACCTCGAAGGGACTTCCAATAGAATACCTTCATTTATCAGCTGTGGCAAACACGAATAAAGTGTCTTTTATCGCTCGTTTTCCGCAGTTTTTTATTTGCTCGGCTGATTGGTTTTCTATTTGGCTACCAGATGTTGGTTACATTCCATTCGTCCATACAACATTCGATAACTGTGTCGCTTTCCGCCTCATTGGGTTCGCTCCCTCCTAGTAGTCCGTTCCATACAGGCACATAAGAACAACACATCTGGTTCCCCTCGAGAACTCCTAGCCGACGACGACAACGACGACAACGATGTACACTACAATTAGAGATAAATTTATAATTATGTTCAGTCCCACGCAGTTCCGTGTGGGGAGTTTTCCCTCTGAGTCCGAGCTCCGGTTCCAAAGGGTCGCGGAAAGCTATTTCTGTTTGATTTGTTGGCTGTCGCGCAACGAAGCAGGATTAGCAGAAGTGGCTAGTTCTAGCAGCAACCTTGCTGCTCTTATCGGTTGGTCGTCGTCGTCGTCGTCGTCGTGCGCGTGGAGAATAAATTTTATGCAATTTGTTCCGATTACCATAGATGGATGAGCGCACCCTGGCCTGGCCTGGCTTGGGCTGGTCAAAGAGGAGGTTGTGGATCTTTTCCGTTTTTGCGCTAAAAATAGGCAAGGAAAAATTTGCTGTCGCGCACGTGAGAGATAAGCCGGTGCCGCTAATTATTCATGAAATGGAAGGAATTTGTCACAGCTGTTGCCTCGGGGTGGATCTGACCTTTCAGGTTCTCGCTGCACAGTTGGAACCTTTCGAAGGGAGTCAACAGCGCTCGATGTTCTTCGAGTGACGAACAGGTCTGTCATGCTGGTTACTCATGGTTGCCGCATGAGTAACCAGCTCCAAAAACCGGAACCAAATCCGTTGTCATTCGACGATTTGTCTATCGACTATTTGTCCCAGAACTCCAAATTCATTAAAACATGTTTGAATGCAAATTTAAAATAGACACTCTTAAGGATAAAGCAATATTGCTCCACCCCTAAAAAAAATAACGTTTGGAAAGTACGTTTTAAATCTCCACATACGCAAATACTATCTTCGCTAAGCATATTCAGCACGTTTTTCAGATTTTTCATTTTTTTAAGTGATGCTACAATTTGAGGATTGATGCTCCCATTTGAGGATTGATGTAATATTATGCCGGTGGTATATATCTGGTAGTCCTAATAACATTAGGAAAGCACATTAAACATCAGGAAAGTCACTTTTAGCGAAATTCTAAAATGATGATGAATTTGTTTCCATAATTCAGCTTCAGGAAAAATTTTAGAACGTAAGTGAACATTTCAGAATGGCATTTATTATTTCGTTATAATTTCATATAAATGTCGGGGACTTAAAGAAGTTACAAAAATTACAGGAAATTCCTAAGAGCTCAAGGGAAGTTAAGAAATTTCAGGAAAACTGCCGGAACTTCATAGAGTTCCAGAGAAGGTCAGGAAAGATCAGAACTCTTCAGATAAATTCTGAAAACATTTGGAAAAAAGCAAAAACATTTTAAAAGAACTTCGGTAACCTAACCTTCAGGATTGTTTCGAGAATTGAGAGAACGATCATTGCAAATCTATTAATTTTAGAAAAAAAGTTCGAGGGTGGTGCACAAGACACGACCGCATTGTTGACGTAGGACTACGAAATTTATGTTCGATGTTCTAGTTTGTTGCTTCGGATATTATTTTGGACTTAAGTGAATTTCATAACTCAACTCTTTTGTAGAAAGTTGTGGTGGCCCTGAACTGTGATGGTTTCTTTATGGCAAGCTTTGCTATAATCACTGGACCTCGTGTTTATTCGCGTTTATACATATCACTTGCGCAAGAA